GTAAATTCGCGCTCTAGTCACTTGGTGCACGACTCGGTTTACACATGATAAATCAAGCGTAAACGTGGATTTCAGTGGTTTATTGTGGACAGTAGTCTATAAAAATGACCCATTATTTAGCGTCGGAAAGTACCTCGATTTGGAAAATCGTCTATTGTTGTAAGTTTGACTTGCTTGTGAAAAGTCGAGATCCCAGGTGTATAAATGTTATATAGGCCAATATGTCAGTATATCAAAATATCATAAGATTGGATCACAATAATTTATAATATGATATTTAACGTATAAATAAGTAAAGTTCATATAAGCTTGCAGTCAATCGATTTTTTGAGCAATAAAATTTATTTCCGAACAGACTGTCGTAACTCACTCCTGCTAAATGGGACAGTGCACGTGCACTGTGATTATGGTGGCTGTGTAGTTCCCATGGCGGCACTTGGCAAATGTGGGTGGAAATTTCGCCAGTAGCGATGCCAACTTTTACTGAAGACACATTCAGTTCGCCGCAAAATCAGTTACATTGCCCGGTGTTTGCGTTGTCAAACTGCCACAAGTTGGCCCTCAGTTTCGCATGCACTCAGTATGACAGCAAGATCCGAGCACCAACAGGGCCTTACAGCTGATACCATGCTGGCTATACTCGAATAACTCAATGTCCCCTTTTTGAAGACGCAGTAATAAGCCAGAACTATCAGCAGCAGCAACGCCAGTAATGGTAATTTGGACAAACACCTGTTTTTCAACAGACTATGGACGGGAAACAATTTTACACTTTTGATTACCTGACCTTGGTGCGCAACTTCAAAGTCCTACAGGTTTTCGCAGTGAAGCAACCCAGGCAGGATGTAAGTATTCTAGTGAGGGCTGTTCAAACAATTCTGGCAACCTAAAATGCATGGTCACAGTGGTACTCTGCCGCCTTCCCGTTACGAGACGCCGGCCGATGTGAACGACACCAAGCCCAAAAATGGATGCCTAATGTGATCCTTCTTGTTCAGCTACTGAAATATTATGAGTAGCTCATAGTTATTTATGTTTCCCTTTCACGGCATTTCCCTGCACCGAAAAACATAGGACCTCCATATTCACTGCATTCTTAGACACGTCTCTTGAACTGTTCTGAAGCTCTTAGTAACGTGAGAAATCAGTTATTTTCCGCCGTAACTGTCGAAATGCAGCTCAGGAGCTTACACATCTTGACGTATCGCGAAACGTAGCTCTCATTTTGGCCACAACAAATACCTGTACTGGCACTCAAACGTGGAGGAAAAGATATTAATGCCCTCACATATGTTGTTCACAGATACACATGGCCAATATATTGACCTGTGGCCTGTGGCCGGAACGTCTTCATGGCCAAAATAAAACTACACTACTGAAGCGGGGCGTCTATACATTGGCATTATATATTATCGCTTCTTACAGAAGAGTCAAGAAACATGCGGACACTGTCACTAAGAGCCGTAAAGAAATCGAAGGCCTTCAAAGAGTCACAGGAGAAGAATCTCAGTGAATGATAGCTCGGAATTCGTTCATTCACCCGCTCAAGAGATTACCAAAAGTAAATAAAAAGGCGACGGCATTACGACTAACCATGATACCCTTAAGCGATGTCGCAATGGTGTCAAAAATATAAGAATTCCAAAGACCATAATGAATATAATGTGATGAACCTGACTGATACTCTATTCGAATGGTGTCTAAATATAAGAATTCCAAAGACCATAATGAATATAATGTGATGAACATGACTGATACTCTACTCGTTGCTCTACTCATTATTTTCTTGTTTTAATATTCCATATGCTGTACATATTCGCCAATTCGAATACATACGTGCTGGTTGTTACGCTTCGCTGAATTCTGGATTTCTAGTTTGTCGGGTTGTACCGATATAGGTACGAAACTCAATTCCCACATTTTGGCGTCGTGATTGTAACAATTCATCATGCCTGCCGAAATGGAACCATTAGATGTTAATTCAACTGCGCGTGACGTGGAGGATTAGCTGGAACGATTCGACATACGGTGTCTCACAAAATCCGATATGGATGATAGGAAACTCACTGCATATTTCCTACATTTCGTTGGCAAGGATGCGTATACGTTGATCAAAAATTTAGTATATCCTGAATCTCCAATTGATATTTCTTACACTGCATTGAAGAAAAAAGTTCTTCAACACTTCAAACCGATTAACTTCGTAGCAGCCGAAAGAGTCAGGTTCAATATGTTGACCCGCTCTCATTCTCAGTCGGTTCGTGATTTCGTGTTACAGCTGCAAACACAGGCGGCCAAATGTGACTACGGTGCCCAATTAGAAGACCAGCTGCGTGATAGACTCATTGCTGGCATTCA